TCACAAGTGCTGCAATGCTGGGGTGGATGTAGCATCCCACAGGAGCATGGGGGGCTCCCCAGCATGCTCGGCAGCAGACCCAGAAGTGGACCAGAAGCATTTCTGGTCCACTTCTGGGTCCACCAGGGAGTGTGCTGGGACCGTCCCCCCTGCCCCCCACAGATCAGCAACTGGTGCCTCCTGGGTCGGTGGGGGGGCACCTGGGGTCCCCCCGTGGCCAATCCCCGAGCCAGGGGGGCACAGGGTCGGGGGGGCAGCAGACTCCCCAGGAAACCCGGAAGTGGACCGGAAATACTTCTGGGACGCTCCATCTGCCCCACCATTGCAATGTTCACGAGCCATGCCTGGTACCTCAAGGTATGCAGAAAAAAACATTTAAAGCTGTGTCTATGGCTGAATCACTGATTCTTTGAACCCCATGCGTCTCCTAGATGGGAAGCACACAGGGTTTAGATAATGCCACATGTCCCAGCCACATGTTCAATTTAAAGCATGATATAAACAAGCCACAAAGTTATTCCACATTATATGTATTATGTCATTATATGTGGAATAACTCTGTGGATTGTTTACTGCATTATAATGCCTTAAAATGTAGATGCACACATGTCCAGTTAATATTAAAGGAACAACTAATTTACTAATCATGTCTTAAATGTAATGGGAATCAGGGACCTTAAAGTCTCATTGTAGAGATAAGCAACACAGATCATTCCTTGCTGATGCCTCATATGGCATATACACATACTCTCTCTGCCCCTTGTTTACTCTGAATGATCACAGAAAATACACCCTCCTTCCCAGAGAATCCCAGAATAAATTCATTAAATATTTCTGTCTATATGGAGTAAATTCAGACAGATTACCAAATTAGCCAATATTTCTTCAATAGTTCTAATCATCCAAATACAACAACCTTTGCCAAGCATTTTTATAAGTGCTCTCAGAGGTAGAGTTGAGAATTAAGTGCTCAGTGCAAATATGAACTCAGTAACATACTAAAAAATAAGCACTCTCTTTCTGCTGGATAATCATAACAAACCTATTTTCTGTTTTACTAAATTCAGTGCTAACACTTAAATAGCATCTTTGTATTCAAGGCACACGCACGCGCACACGTCTCAGATATTTTGTTACTTTGAGTATAACTGAACCTTTGACTGAATAAAAGAGGAACATTTGGATCTTAAAACTGGAATTAGCATCAGTCAGGGAAATTTATACACATTTTCCAAAGCAATATCAAATTTAATTATATCATAACTCTATCACATTTTAAATGTTTTACAAATTTATTAAACCAGTAATGGCAGCTGTCCAAGGAACGCTGTAATTCTAGAGGTCATTAATTCTAAGCATGCATTGGCATTGTGTTGCAGGTTAGCCTTGCATGAAATGATTAATACCATATTTACTTGACTATAAGATGAGGATTCCCCCCCTCCCCCCATCAGCACGGGGGAAAAAGCTCCTCATCTTACATCTGTCTACAAGGAAAGCTCATTAAATACATTATCTATCATTATATTGCTGCCAAAAACAGCACGTCCTCAGTAATGGAAACCAATTATGAAGTTGATTAAATGGAGCCCACACTGAGCATGACTACAAAATACATTGTCCGTATTAGACAAGCATACTGACTTTTTTTTTTTTAATTGCGTCTTGGGCCAAATCAGTTCTGAATTATATTGACTGAGCAAAAGTCAATTGTTCAAGTTTGTGTAGCAAATAACTTATCACAAGGATAACCTGTCTGAATAGGGTATATGGTAGATTTAATGGAGAATCCTAGATTTTCATGGTTTCCACAATATCCACAAAACTGTAAATTAAGTAGGTCCCTAATCATGCAAGTAGGTACTATATATAAGTAGGTACAAAAGTGCTGCTTAGAAATGTGCTTATGAAGTACCTGTGATAAAACTTGCAGCAGTTTCAAAAAAGGTAAAATACATGCATTCTGTATGAAATAAATTACTATATACTGTACATGTGTCAAAGTTAGTCTTCTCAAATTTTGGTACTGGGAGTGACCATAAACTCCATTCAACTGGAGGACCTTGTGGCAACATGGCAGGGTTACTTCTAGCAGGGTAGCTCCTATAAAATACCACAATGTTGCAACCCCCGGAGAAAGGGGAGTATAGGGCACCTCAAAGCCCTGGCCCCACACTGCCTTGTGGGTACTCCTTGGTTGAGGAAAGACTAAGGGACATCACCCTGACAGAAACATGCCCTTGCTGAGGCGTTAGGCAGTCAGCAGTTCTTATCTATTACTCTCTGGCAGAAGCTACAACCATCAAAGCACTGAATGTCTGGACTCGCTCTGGCCTTTGGATTCTGTCTCAATGGTCTAACGGGTGGGGGTAGGTCTTGGGCAGCCTCCAATCCTTTATACTCTTGCCTATGTGGGTATACCAAAGGTCTTCAAAGGGCTTGGTGTGATGGCCGTAGACCTCTTGCATGTATACCATGATACAGAGGATCAGTGGTTGCCTACTACTTTTCAAATTTTCCCTTTACTTCCCTGTACTCAGGGAGAGTAGGGTCTGACAGTAGTGAAGAGGGGGAATGGGGATGGACAGGGACTGGCAGGGGCTATAGGGGAATAAGCTAGATGTGAAAAGGGGGCCACCTGATCCCTCCAGATGTATTTTCCATGCTGTAACAGTGGGAGGGGGACAAATTCAAGGCAAACCTACAATCATTAGATTCTATATCTGTAAAGTTATAACAAATTAATTAATTTTCCATATATAGACTGTAATTATTTGGGGGGGCCATCTTATATTCAGTGTCATCTTCTATTAGAATAAATATGGTAAGTCAGCTTTAAAATAGAATGCCAACACAACACTAAAAAGTTCATTTATGTGCGTTAACAAAAAAGTATTAATGGCTGCTTGCAGACGTTAAAAAAAGACAAATCGGTGCTTTACTTTAAATTCTGCGTACTCTTCAGCACATGCCCAGAATAGGCAGCATGTTAGTTGGACCCGGTTTGCCTGATGTCTGCATAGATTGGGTGCTTTAGTGGGGCTTTTGGGGTGCTTTTATCTAATACCTGATTGAATCAGTTTCAGCCAAAAGTACCAAAAAGCCCCACTGAAGCGCTCAATCCCTACAGGTCCTGCAGAGGTGGGTCGTAGTTACATACTGCTTCTTCCGGTAAAGAGTGATTTTTCGTTTTTTAGGGGTTTTTTCAATGTTTGCAAGAAGCCAACATTTCCAAAGTCTATTTTATTCAGCATCATTCTATTCCTCAGTCTTACACCCTGTAGCTGTGCATACACCACAATTGAGCAGCTAAACAATTGGCACGCTCTACGAGCGATCGTGGTGCTTGGGCCAGGTGCCAGATGATTGGAAGGTAGCTAATGTGGTCCCCATCTTCAAGAAAGGGAAAAGGGAGGACCCGGGCAACTATAGGCCCGTCAGTCTTACCTCAATCCTGGGGAAACTCTTTGAGAAGATCATCAAGGAGCACATTTGTGACGGGCCGGCATCAGAAATGATGCTCAGGGGCAATCAGCATGGATTTATTAGGGGGAGATCATGTCAGACCAACCTGATTGCCTTTTATGATCAGGTCACAAAGGCCATGGACGCAGGTGTCGCGGTGGATGTAGTCTTTCTGGACTTCAGTAAGGCCTTTGACACCGTCTCTCACCCCATCCTAATTAATAAACTAGGCGACTGTGGCATAGATGCCTTCACAGTCAGATGGATTGCAGATTGGCTGAAGGGTCGCACTCAGAGGGTGGTGGTGGATGGATCATACTCGACTTGGGGGGAGGTGGGTAGTGGAGTCCCCCAGGGCTCGGTCCTGGGGCCTGCGCTGTTCAATTTCTTCATCAGCGATCTTGATGTTGGGGTGGAAAGCAACCTGTTTAAATTCGCTGATGACACCAAAATTTGGGGGGAGGTGAGCACGCTAGCAGGGAGAGAGAGATTGCAGAAGGATCTGGATAGGTTACAGGGGTGGGCAAACAGGAACAGGATGTGTTTCAATACGGACAAGTGCAGGGTGCTGCACTTGGGTAGTAGGAACCAGCAGCACACTTATACGATGGGGAACTCCCTACTTGAGAGCACGGAGGCGGAAAGGGATCTTGGTGTCATTATTGACTCCAAGATGAACATGGGCCGACAATGCGAGGTCATGGTTGGCAGGGCTAACCGGACCTTGTCGTGCATCCACAGGTGCATCTCGAGTAGAGCCAGGGAGGTGATCCTCCCCCTCTATGCGACGCTGGTCAGGCCGCAGCTGGAGTATTGTGTCCAGTTCTGTGCGCCCCATTTCAGGAGGGATGTGGACAACATGGAGAGGGTCCAGAGGAGGGCCACCCGCATGATCCGGGGACAACAGGGCAGACCCTACAGGGAGAGACTGCGGGACCTGAACCTATTCAGCCTCCACAAGAGAAGGCTGAGGGGGGACCTGGTGACAGTCTATAAACTCACTAGGGGGAACCAGAAGGGTTTGGGGGAGACGCTGTTTCCCCTAGCCCCCGCTGGCATAACAAGGAGTAATGGGCACAAGTTGATGGAGAGGAGGTACAGATTGGACATCCGAAAAAATTACTTCACAGTTAGGATGGCTAGGAGCTGGAACCAACTTCCAAGGGAGGTGGTGCTGGCCCCTACCCTGGGGGTCTTTAAGAAGAGGCTGGATGCCTACCTGGCTGGACTCATTTGAGTCCCGTTTTTGTTTTTAGGGTTTTTTGTTGTTCTCCCGCCCTGGCGGGGGGGCGGGCTAGAAGATCTATTAGGTCCCTTCCGACCCTAAAACTATGAAACTATGAAACAAATGTTAGTATTTTCCTCCTACTTCCTTGTATTTAACTAGATGAGCAACAGCACTGATGTCACTCCTGAAATTCAAGGCTCCAACCTGAGGCAGGAAACCCTTGTGTTGGCACTTATCAGCAACGTCTTAAGAACACTTTAACCAACAGAAAAAAATTAAAAATAATTAAAGAGCTTTACACAGTTACCTTATCCTTTTATCCTCAACTCTTTTCAGATACTCGTCTCTCTTCAATACGCCCATTATCATCTCCCTCTCATGCTCCAGCAAAAATGATAAATTGATGATCTCCAAGTTTTTGGACATGATTCTTCAATGGTTTTTGTTGTTTTTTTTTTTTAAATAGTTGAGTTTTCTAAACAATAAAATGTTTTGCTGTAAGTTCAAAGGCACATTTGTGACAAAGGTCCCAGATTTACAAAGTCAACTGATATCCTGACAGGAAGATCTCCATTAAATTAACCGGAGGTCAAAAGCATGTAGCTAAGTTGTCCAGCTATATGAGAGAGAAAAATTTCTGTTGCGTTCTCTTTAAGAAATTCAGGTTGTCTATTGCATTTTTGCTGGTATTCTTTGACATGCTGCAGGCCTCTGGACCACATTCACAGGTCGTGTGGGATTTAACCTTTTTATACAACTATATTCTGAATCCACATAAGAGCTGCATATTTAGATTCAAACTCTCTGAAAAAAAGAAAAAAAGAGAAAGTATTAACATTATTCAGGACTTCTGTAAAAAGGCTAAATGAAATAATGGTTCAAGAGCTATGAGAGAATTGAAGTATAGTCACTTGCAAACTATCAAACTGCTCCATGGGTCATCCACAGGCAGTACATTCTCTTTGTTACTATTCATTTATCTTCAGACCTATGAAGAACAAGCTCCTGTGTAGGCTCCCTTGTGTAACTCCGTTTGCAACTACTCTCCTGTTGTGGAAGTTTTCATTTTGCTATCCTCCTTCAGAGTGTGCTTTTTTATTATATTAGGTATACTGTAGCACATGAATTAACTGATTTCAGTCAGATTATTTGCAAAAAAAGTACCTAACAAGAGGAAGATTGAAAGAAACAGTCACCAAGGAGACATCTGCCTTTCCCGATAAATCAAAGCTACAAAAATCCTTTATATCCATCTGCAGGTACTAAAAACACAGGAACACTTCAGTTTGCATCATGTGGGGCATGACAAGATAAAACAACATTTTGCTGCTTTTTTATCCCAAAAGTTTCATCCATCATTGCGCTAAACTGAGCAAAAGTTTTAGCGAAAGAGGGTAAAGCTGATATAGGGTTTTATCTAAAAACAGAAACAAGTATTTTTACACATATGCATATAAATATACTACATTTATTTTCTCTCCCTCCCTCACACACACACCCCCACACACACACACTGCTTGTGTCGGGTAAGACTAAATCAACATTTACAAGTTTTGATGTTGGAAGAGGACAGATACAACTAAAACATGTGGCACTGATATAATGCTTGCTTCTTTCCTTCCTCATTCTTTCTTGCATAGTTACTTATGAAAGAAGGTCTTGCTTTTCCTGCATTTTAAAAATAAAGAAAAGGAAGGTTTTGATAATGATAAATGGCATAGAAATTTGAAGCAGGAAGAAATGGGAGTGGTACGGGCATTGATAGGCTCTGCTTGTGCATCCAGAGCAACGGCAGCCAGACACCAGTATCTTGAAGGGAACGGGAGGGGGTTTAATCCCCCCATTGCAGGCAGCAGCAGTGCAGGCACAGACATGGCATTGGCTCTGTCCCATGCTGAAGATCCCCTCAAGCAGGGCGTGCGTTGCAACACCTGGGCCAAGTCCCTTGGAGGAGCAGCAAGTGGCACCTGATGCCAATGCAGGTCTGGCCATGGAGAGGGGGGTGGGGGCAAGGGACGGGGGATGTGACCTGGATGCAGGTGCGGAGTGGGGTGGGAGGGAGCCGGGGCTAATCACGGACCCTGACTCACTGCTCCCTCCTGCTGTGGGAACGCAGTCCAGATTGGGGTGGAGCTAGGGGGTGGAGGTCAGCGCCTGCCGCCTCCCACCTCTAGCCCTGCATGGGGGCTGTGGTTTGCAGGTGGACTGCAGCTGGAGCACGGCTCCCCATTCCCCTCCCTCTCCCAGCAGCAGTGGCAAAGCAAACTACCTGTGGCGGGTGGAGATGAGGCATCCATCACTTGAGGCGGGCCCACTCGCTCTGCTGCCACTGCTGGGAGAGGGAGGGCTGCAGGGAGCTGCGCCCCAGCTACAGTCTGCCTGCAAACCATGGCCCCCATGTGGGGCTGGAGGTGGGAGATGGAGGGCGCTACACCCTAGGGCTGTCCTAGCCCAAGCTGGGCTGCTGCTGCAGCAGGAGGCAGTGCTAAGGCAGGCTCTGTGATTAGCCCTGGCTCCCCGCCGACCCACCTCCATGCCTACAGCCAGGTCACATTCCCCCTCTCCTACCCCCTCCACGCAGCCGAACCAGCATCAGCATTGGGTGCCACATACCACTCCTCCAAGGATCTCGGCCCATGTGCTGTGGCATGGGCCCTGCCTGAGGTGATCTTCAGCATAGGACAGAGCCAGCATCATATCAGTGCCCATGACACTCCCCGCTTGCCCTCAGGCTACTGGCATCTGGCCACTGCAGACCTGAGTGCACAAGCAGAGCCTACCGGTGACCATGCCTCACACCCCGACAACAATGGGGGGAGATTAAACCCCACTTTACCCTCAGGCTACTAGGGTCTAGCCATGCTCATGCTCCTGCTGCTGGAGCAGCAAGCGAGTGAGCAGGGATAGGGGAGCTGGGGACCCCTGGCAGGGGCTTTTTCCCTCCTCCCCCTCCACGCACACTCCATCTGGGGTCCTTGAAGGCCAGAGTGGGAATTTAAACCCCTCCCTAATCATACTCAGGCCTGTCAGGGTCTGGCCACACCCTCCCCCAACTCAATGTCTCTCCAGCTGAGGACTCGCTCTAGCACCCCCCAGCTTCTGGCCTAAGTCACTGCAGGCAGGTGGCTGCATTTCAAGAACGAAAAATGAATGTCTATTCACTTGCAAATCGGTTCAATCTACACAAGTTAGGCTAACCTGCAAAGATTGAATCAATTCAAGCTCTGGCTTTTTGAATGTCTGTACCTAGCCCCAAAGGAAAGGCCACTTTATGGAGTACACCAGAGCTCTCCAGCTGGTGGCCTGCAGACTACAAGTAGCCCACAAAGGATTCATTCGTGGTCCCTTGGGCTCCCACTGAGACACTACTGCCTCCCCATTACTCTGGCTGCAGTAGTAGACTGGTTCTTCAGACTTCCCTTCCTCCTTCAGATTCTTCTTCCTGCACCCACTCCAGGGGACAAGGCAGTGTGGAGCAGCCTGTGGTCCCAGGGGAGCCCATGGTCTGGGGCACCCATAAGACACCGTAAAGATGATGAGCCCATGGCTGGGGTGTCCATGTGCTCAGTGCAGTGCAAGGCATCCTCATGGCATACAGGGCCTGTGGCTCACACTGGTATAGCCTGTGTGTTGTGCAGCCCCCAGCCAGTTAGAAGCTTGCAAGTATGTTTCTTCTAGCTTAGTTAGGAGTAAAGGAAGAAAATGCCACACTTCAGGAGACTTGAGGAGAACCTTATTTTTACTAGCTTCTGTTACTACAGGGATTTCATCACAACCTCTATCCAGGAGTATCTCAAAAAAGAAGTCCCAGAGCTGTGCACAATGCCCTACACACACTTTTTTCACTTAAAGCAATTCATTTGTAACATTAAGACCACATTTTAAAGGATCAAAGTTCTGTAAAAAAAATAGGAATCTTCATAATACTTAACAATAATGAAAATAATATGATGTTCCTTTTTACAGGTGAAGAAAGCGGGGTAAAAGGTTAAGTGACAGGCTCAGGGTATATAGCATGCCAGTGGCTAAGTGAAAAATAGAACTCAGGACTATTGAATTTCTACCTCTATTTATCCCTTTTGAAACATGGAAAGCAAATATCTGAGCCACAGAACATTGCGACAGGTCTAGGTCCCAGGGGCAGTGAAGATGCCCCCTGGGGGTCACACAATTCCAGCCCCTGTTCCAACTCTATAGTGGTCCTCACCTCCTCTACTTGTCTGCCACACCTTGGATATTATTACGGGTACACCATATAAAGATTTTTTGGGTCGATACTGATGGCTGATTATAAATGAGCCATATTGACTAATACTGATCCGATTGCTGATATGCAGCCCGGCAGCTTTAAGAGCAGTCTCGGGCTAGTAAGTCTGTTGGGGGAAGGGGTGGAGGAAAGGGACATTGGGGCGGGGTAGATCAAGGCCCCCACAGTGAGGGAAGGAGCAGGGCTGGGGCAGGGGCAGACACTGCCCAGCAGGGGCAGGGCACAGGACAGAGCTACAAGCAGCTCATCTGGGGAGGCACGGGGAGGAGGGTGTGGCTTCCGCCACTGTGCACAACCCCAGGGGAGGCATGGGGGGCATGTGAACCCAAGCTGCACTTGGGGTGAGGTCGGGCTGCCGCTATAGGCTGGGGCCAGGGGTGGCACTGGGCTCCTCCTAGCAGGGAACTGGGCTGGGGCTGCGCTCAGAGCAGGTAAGGTTATGGGGGCTATGGCCAATTCTGGGGTGGCCACAGCTTACTCCACAGCCCTGCTCCCAGCACATCTCTGGCACGGCCCCCTTCCCAGGAACATCCTGGAGCCACCCCCAGCCCCAGCCTGCAACAGCAGCCTGCCCTCGCCCAGCACACGGATTTGGGGGGGGGAAATGTCCCCCATGCCTCCCCCAGGGGTGTGCGCAACAGTAGGAGCCAACCCCCCCTCCGTGCCCCCCCAGATGAGCTGTTCACCACTCCATCCTGCACCCTGACCCGGCTGTGCAATGCCTGCCCCTGCCCCAGCCCCACTGCTTCCTCCACTGTGGGGACCTCAATCTGTCCCCCCACCCCCATGCCCCTCCTCCCCAACAGACTTACCAGCTAGATGCTGCTCTCCAAGCTGCCAGGCTGGCCATGTGCATGCTGCAGCTGGGCACATGCATGTGGCATTTATCAGTGACATTATCAGTCACATCAGCCAAAAAAAGCCTATTGCTGATAATGTTGATTTTCCTTATATCAGTGCCAATCTGATATGGACCAATGTATCAGTGTACCTCTAATTATTATTTATTAGGAAGGAGGCTGCCTGAGGGTCTTAGAGCGAGCCTACCATTGCTCATGTCTCAGGCTTCAGCCTTATTGCTGCACCCCACTAGGAGCTCTGGGACTTCCAAAACCACCCCTACGGTCCCGCCCAAACCTCTAGTACACTGAAACCAAACATCTAAGACAAGCTCTTCTGGCTATAACAAAACTCCTGCCCAACCCTGGGTCTTAATCAGCTGCTAGCCCCCAGCTTCCCTAGCTGTCTCTGGACCTACCACACTCCCAGTTTACTTCTGAGTTGCCGGCACCTCTGGAGAGCTCTTTCCTGCACAGCCTCCATGGCCAGACTTCCTGCCCTGGTTCTGGGGCTGCCTTATCTCTCTCCCAGGGCCCTTTGCCCTTCCATTCAGCTGGGTTGCTTACAGGTGCCTACTAATTAATCTCACTTGTTGGTCTCTATAGCAACCCAGTCCCAGCTGCACCCTGCCTGTCCTGGAGGGCTCCAGCCTAGGCTGTTTCCCTCATAAAGTGACAGAGCATCCCAGGCTGTCTGGCACAAGCATATGCTAAAAATAGAGCACTATCTAGATCAGGGGTTCCCAAACAGGGGTAAGCATACCCCTGGGGGTACACAAGACATCTCTGGGGGGTATGCCGGAGAAATTGTGTAAGGGCTGATTTAATTTTTATTATAATAATAATTGGCATTTAAGAGGTTAAATATAAAAAAAATATGCTGGTAGGGGTATGTAGGCAGCTGGTAAATCTGGAAGGGGGTACGCACTAAGAAAAAGTTTGGGAACCTCTGGTTTAGGTGGAAGATACCATAACTAACTAAAATGCATTGGTAGTATGAGTACCTCAATTAGCATTCCCATGTCTCCAGCCCCCAATTTTTTAAAATAATTATTTCTTAAAAGAAAAAAAAAAACCCACAAAGGCCTTAACTAAGCCTATTGCACTCTACAGAAAGAATCACAATGGAAGAAGAATAAATGCACTGATTGCACTATTATTCCTAGGACGACAGCTCACAGGTAATCATACAGTATTCCTACAAATGGCTGTAACACTTCTGCACAATGGGTATGGAGAATCTGGTTGAGAGAGATAATGTTGCACAGAAACTCTCTTGAAGCATTTCAGGCAGTGCTTTCACTTTATGACTGCCCCTCTCAGATTTTTTTCCAAGTGTTATTCTAAAGAATCTTGTATTCCTAGTGTATAAAAGGAAGAGCTAAAAAACAAAAACACTAGTAGCTAAGCATATTATTAGCATTCACTGGATTGTACTTTATTACCAATGTCTTAATCAAGCCTGACTTCTGTTCCAATACACACACACTTTTACTAAATATGAAAAAAAATTCTTTGCAAAGTGAGTGTCCCTTTACTGGAAACAATTAGATCTGGAAAGCCCAGTTAAATCATTCTAAATCTAATTTACAGTTTACAGACTGGTGAATAGAAACATATTAAATACTATATGCTCTATATCATGGAAAATTACTCTACATGATTCAAAAGAAAGTTACACATCAACACAGATGATGAGATCAAAGTTATATTAGACAGGATGGACAGTTGCTTAGACAGAGCGTAAACCCATAGGCTTCGATTAGAAGCCAACTACTGTTTGACAGGTCAGATTCTATCACACCACAGGAAAGTTATTCCTTTATGTAGTTTCTTATACCACAGCATCCTAGCTGGCTACTGTGAGAAACAATACAACAGACTAGTCAGAGCTCTGGTTTGATCCAACATAACAATGTTTTATGTTGCGAGTGACTACTTGCACCATAACTTTGTAAATTAACTGCATCTATACCGGGGTAGGCAAAATACAGCCCACAGGCCGGATCTGGCCCATAAGGCAATTCTATCCAGCCCATGGGGCCCCTAAAACATTTAGAAAATTAATATTTATCTGCTGTTGGTTCCTGTCCAAAATGACAGGAACCAAGGGCAGTAGGACCCAGGGGAAGCCTGGCAGGCTCCCACAACAGCAGGGCCCACTCAGCCCCATCCCCCTTGGCTGCTGTGAGCGGCTGCAGCAGGGAGGATCGGCCACGGGGTGGGCCAGGGGACACTTTTCCCTGCGCTTAGCACCAGCTTCATCCCTGCCAGTGAGCAGGGGGTTGGGGCTGTGCACTGCCCCCTGCCTGTACCGTGGGGCTGGGGGGCACTGAGAGTGAGTGGACAGGGAGCCAGCGGGAGCACGGGGCCCACACCAGTGTCCCAGGGCCAGTGCCAGCAGGGCCCAGAGCAGTGTGGCAGGAGCATGGGATCCCAACCAACAGGGGCTATATGGAGCCAGGTCAGCTCCCTCCGCTCCCTGCTGATGCAGCCCGGCTCCACAGATCCCTGCCAGCCTGTGCCCCGCTTTGGGCCCCACTGGTGCTGGCCCTGGGCCATTGGTCCCAAGACATTGGGACATTGGTCCCAAGATGGTGACCAGGGGGCAGGGCACCTGTCAAGGGGCAGGGCTGCCCATGCAGCCCTTGACAGCCTGCCAAATTGGGTAAGTGGCCCTCCTCCTGAAATCACTGCCCGCCCCTAATCTATACCCTGCATAAAAACCATTGTAGCTTTGTTTGTGGAGTCAATAGAAAATAAATAGATTTGCAATAACAAGCATAGTCTTAAATATTTACCTCATGGGCGGCTAAACATAATTAATGCATATTATACATATTTTTTAAAAGTTAATTTAAAGTTTATTTTTTAAGCAAAACCTACAATCATTGCAAAAAAGTAAAATTTCCACTCCTTGAAATTGCATTCTGAGTTTTTAAATCAAAATGGTCTAGGAAAAAAGCTTCCAGTCACTCATTCATGCAAACATTTCATTGATTTCAACAGCAGTTTTGCACATGTAACTACTGCAGGATTTGGTTCCTAAGATTATATTGCCAAGATTTTTACTGAAAAATTATTCTTATGCTCTAATTTTATGCTATGTTACAGTGCAGAGTGCAGCAAGACACACTCTATGGACCCAAGCTTCATCTAGTCTCTGCTTTTTTCATGTACTTCTCCACTGGCAGACAAGAGCAATGTGGAAAAATAGACTCCACAGAGAGGGAACCTCTTCTTAACAGCCTCCATTACCCAGGAAATCCCCCTCCCCCCCAATATTTTATTCTTCTTTGCATGGCTATTTAAGATTAGCAATAGTTCTTTGGCTGGAGAAATAATCTGAGAAAATTCTCAATTGAATAACCTGCTGTTGACAGAAAACTAAGCTATCTGAGTTTACCATGCCAGAAACCTATAATTCCACCGCATTCATTCCAACTATTACCAATTACATCATCATCACGCACAGAAAATCATCAACTACTTTATAATAACTAAAGAACAATCCCAGAAGACAGTATTTTTTAGCTCCCGTATATTTTGGGTCAGTAGTTTGGGGGTGACTGGGGCAGCAGCCCTGAGCACCCACTTGGGGGGCAGGGAAAGGGCACAAAAATAGAAGCTGCCGCAGCTATCACCTACTTGCATCACCGCTGGCAGCAGCCTGGCAACTATCCCTGGCCCATGCATGGCCACTCCTCAAGGCACAGAGCTGCCTTGTTATGCCTCTGCAGTGGACATTTCTGTTGTATGTTTGTTTAATGAACAGAATGATAGGAGGATCAACAGCAGCAGAACACAAAGCCACATTGCTAGTTAGCAGTGTAATACTACTTCTAGGAAAACACCACTTAATGCTTCCTCATTTTTAAGAGCTGCTGACATTGAATCATTAAGGACTAGGCCTGTGTTTCACATTTCGATAGAAATTCCAAATAGAAATAAGCCTCCAAAGCAGGGTTTGGTCCTCCTCCTCTTCCATTCCTTTGTTTCTACCTCTTGCACTAAAAAGCCAGGAGTCAACGAGTTAGTATCAGGTGACTCTCGATGAATCTCCGAGCCCACATGGATAAAATGGACGGTTTTTGGAAGCGATAGAAGGAAGATCTGAAATCTTGTGAGGTTTTATTAGGCAATCGTATGGCTGGTTTTTGGGGTGTGGTCCTGAATCACAAAGTGAGATACATGGAAGGATTCAGTGTGCCCCACAGAACAGGATTGTTTTTTCCCTACCTATTGTCCATTGTACAGAGGCTCTGTTTCATGGACCAGTATCCTAGGGTAGTACTGGTCTACCCTAGGATACTGAGGCACTAGAAGAAAGAAGGTAGAACCAGCAGGGTAATAGAACAGCCAACTAGGAAGCTATAAGCTCTCAATTTTTTTCCCCTAAAGAAGGCAGAGGGAAGAAATAACAGTTTTACCGATTAACCTTGGTGTGCTGAAAGGGCCACCTCCACTCCTACCACCTGTCCCTTCTGCAAGGAAGTAAGCACTGTAATAAAAAAAAAATGTTTTTTAAATTGGGCACCACTTGATTCACAAAAGTTATAGAAAGATGCCTCAAGTCTAATGCCAGGTGCGCCTTGAGTTTGAAAAGTTTGAGAACCGCTGAATTAGAGGAATTAAGTTTTAGCATAGTTTTCCAAAAAAATAAATAAATAAAATAATGGAAGCAACAAACTTGAATGTTTTAATATGGTGCCCATTGAGTTATGGAAAGATAGGCTGACAGGACTCAAATGTTGTTACAGAAGAAATCAGAGCATTTGATATGTGGATTCATGTTTTCTGGAACACAGGTTCTTCTGTTTTAAGGCTGTACTTGAAGGAGGATGTTTCAGTACAAACTCTTGGTAGTAATTAAAACTTCTTGCAAAGCAGCACCAATACTTAATGCAAAAACTTCAGTACATGCTACATGTTCTATATAGGTACAGCATGTGTCCACAGAGATCATCTGAGGAGAGGCAGTTGCTCATGCCCTATAAATAAAAAACAGCTCGCAAGTCTGATAAGGGCTTTTTTAAAAAGGCAGCACTAGAGCAGAGTGAATCTGCTCTTCCTGTTTGCTAGTTGTGCAGCTGTTATCTGTGTTTCTGTCTCCCAGTTTTACCAGCAGAATAACGAACAGAAATATAGCACATAGGAAACTGCAGCATATTGAGAGCTCTGAATGAAAACTAATGCTACAGGCAAAGGCATGAATGGGGTAATTTGTTGAAATCTTAGGCAAATTCTAAGTCAACCCAGGTGCTGCAAACCCCTGAATATGCCACTGTGCATATCCACATACATCAAAAGCCATCAGCAATCTCATCTGTATTCCAGCCTCTATTATGCAGAATCCCCCACATTTTGGGTAGCACACTCCCCGGATGCTAGCGAAATATAGGAATAGAATAGAGCAGGCCTATCCAAGTTTAAGCAGCTGGAAGCCGCCACCCCCCCCAGCCAAGGTACACCAATGGGGGCTGTGGACCCCACAGGCTGCACACCAGGCACATGCATAAGCAGGCACCCCTCACCCCTCTGCACTGCATCTAAGCACTCCCCCACCACTGCTCTGCACACACAGGAGCAGGCACACCTGCCCATTACCCCCATGCACAGCAGCCTGCATCACATTCAGCTCCCAAGCTCCCCCATGGCACCACACCACCCTGGTGCTCCAGGCTGCTGACTCACTCAGCACCCTCGGCTGCACTGCGCCCTGCCTAGTCTTGCCCTGCTTCGTGCTGCTAGTTCAGGTATAGAAGATAGCCAAGGGAGGGGGAGCCCCAAGACCCTAGCTGCTTTTGCAGCCACAGAAAGGTACAGCAGCAGCCAGGTGGGAACTGAGGGGCCACCTTTGGTCTGTAGACCACCAGTTGGACAGCCCTGGAATAAAGAATGGAGTTATAGGTTAGATTAGCTCTTCTCCGTTTTTCTGCTGCTACTATCAAACTGCTTGTTGCGGAGTACTATAGTACTCCACTTCCACACCACTGTGATTATTTAGGCAGGAGTCTGAGTTTGCAATGATTTTGTGATTCAGTGTCGCAGGCTGTATTTTTGTTGTGCACAATATCATAAACTCACGTGTCCAAATCTAACAGGCAGTGCCTGCACTTTAGCCAAGTCCACATTCCAAAAATATTGACGATACAATACCATCAATAAGTGGTGTTATTTTTCACATTTCTGTATTGGTCAAAGTCTTAGATTCAGTTATATCAGGAAAGTGCTGTTACTGGTATAGTTCTCCATTTTGTTTGGGGAAATAACATATCCTATATTGGAAAAGCACTCTTTGCCTATTTAAGGTCTGTCTACACCAGGAAGGTTTGCTAGTAAAGATAACCTTAGTAAAGCAAAGGCTTGTTTAGCCAATTTGGTTTATTAGGAAAGCATCAGGGATCTTTTTGACCTCCTCCCCTCCCTTATTATGGATTAATTTTTCATTATAATCTAACCTGGTATCTTTGACCCTACCATACTAAGTACCCCAATTCATGTGTGTGTGTTCTGGAAACTGTAGCAGTCTGTACACCTCAAATCTGTGCACTAAGAATAACAGAGAACTGAAGATGACATTAGTTATTTCCCTAAAAAGCATATCCTATCTATATCTACCCTTTTTAGGAAATCTGTTTCTTTCTCAGTCCATGTCAATATACAATCCTACGTATGAGAAAGGACTGTCACGGTCATTTCTAATAAATTCCAACAAAACATAAAGAGTAGACGTCATACAAAGAACTTTGATACATATAACTCTTACCTGGTTCAGAGTGTAACGGCTGGCTCACGTCTTTTTCTGTTCTAGCTATGCCATACAACATTCTTTAGCTAGAATAATATTCAGGAACTAGAAAAACCAGCCTCACTTCTTCCAACAATCTAGTTAAATATCTGAACAGTGTACACACCCAGTTGTGCAAAGTTATATTTAGCAGCAGGTACTGAAGCACCAGGAAATGCCAGTGGCACTAACCCATTGAGTGTTGAAAGGAACGAGAAGTAGCTCTTCCTTTAAGAACTCTGGCAAATTCTGAAATGAAATGGCAAAGTACCTGCCATTCAGAGAATAATTACTAACTTGTTTGAACAGAGCCTGTGCTAGTAGCATGCTAATTACTGATTGCAATTTCTAGTTGTTAGCTTATTACAAATTCACAATAATTATTCCTTCTTTTTCCAAGAGACTGAAAGTGAACTTTGAGTCCTCTAAACGTAGTGTAGAGAGGAAATCCAAAACTGATAAATAAACGAAAAAAAATCATGTACTAATCTGGCAATAACTGTCAGTAACATTATTTGAAATAGTTTTAAAAGCAACTACTGTCACATATTAACATTACAGTATTAGCATGAAAAAAGCTCATAAACAAACATGGAAGCATCTGATTTTTTTAAATAAGTTTTTCTACTAAATTTAGGCACAGCAAGTTGTATCAGCATGTTTCAGTTCACAATAATCAGAGATTCATATCATTGATAAATCATTTCATTGATTAAATAAGAGCAACAACTTGTAAGTCATTCTTTTAGGTCAGGAATAATGCCAGGTTTCTCGCACTCTCTTGGCAAAGATCTTTCCTTACCGAAAAAAAACTTACTCTTTCTCCAATCAGTGCCAAGTCCTCAGAGCTGAATTTATTACATAAGTATATGAACCTGTGCTAGAACCAAATGTTCTAACAGTAATAGTGAATGCTGGAAGAATTAAACACAGTATGCCAATGTTAATCAGTCCTAATAGCCATCTCATTTTAAAGTTGGAACTGACAGGCAGTAAGGTCAAGTGACATGCCCAACACCCATGTTAATGAGATGTGGGACTAGAATTTAGCTCTTGGTACCTAGCCAGCATTTCACTAGACTATATTGTACTCTATCAGAACCTGCTCAGGTGCTTAACTTTGAACTCTCATTACTCCAAGGTTTTCAAGGGTTCCACTAGAAACAGAAACACACACACACACACACACACACACACACACACACACACCAGTCCATTTTTTTTTATTTTCTAGTGAAAAATCCAGAAGTATCCAGTTCCAAAAATTTATCACACACCCATTTCACATGCATTTGACTCTGTTACTATTGGTTGACAGTGCTATTTAAGGAAAAATAGAATTTAGATGTCAGTCCCTGTTCCAATTACTGTTTATCAATTTTAAGATATACAGGACCAGAAAGACTATGCAAGACTGGGTCCTCAACATCTCCAGGAGTTAGGAGTGTTAGAGGTGGCACACAACCCCTTTATTAGCAAGTGTGTTCTATCAGACACTGAAGACAGTGCAGCAAAATCAAACACAAGTCCAGACTCATAGATGTCCCACTGAAATAAGCTACGCCTGACATAAGTTTGGCCTTTAAAAAAAAAATCAAACTGTAGTCTCAAGACTTATATACATAGCAGCCAGGTCTCACCAATCTGATTGCCTTCTATGAACAAGTGTCTGGTTCTGTGGATGTGGGGAGAATGGTGGATGTGGTATACCTTGATTTTAGCAAGGCTTTTGATACAGTCTCCCACAACATTCTCACAGACAAGGTAAGGAAGTACAGGCTGGATGAATGGACTGTAAGGTGGATAGAAATCTGGCTGAAGCACCATGCTCAGAGGGTAGTAATCAATAGTTCAATGTCTATTTGGCAGTTGATATCAAGTGGAGTGCCTCAGGGGTCTGTCCTGGGGCTGGTTTTGTTCAATGTCTTCATCAACGACCTGGAAGATGGCATAGAGTGCACCCTCAGTTAGTTTGCAGATGACACCAAACTGGGAGAAGTAGTAGATACATCGGAGGGAAGGGCTAGGATTCAGTGTGACCTAGACAAATTGGAGGTTTGGGCCAAAAGAAATCTCATGAGAATCAACAAGGACAAGTGTAAAGTCCTGTACTTAGGGTGGAACAATCCCATGCACCGGTACAGGCTGGGGACTGACTGGCTGCACAGCAGCTCTGCAGAAAAAGGTCCTGGGGGTTACAGTGGACAATAAGCTAAATATGAGCCAGCAGTGTGCCCTTGTTGCCAAGAAGGCTAATGGCACACTGGGCTACACTGGTAGGAGTGTTGCCAGCAGATCAAGGGAAGTGATTATTTTCTTCTATTCAGCGCTGGTGAGGCCATGTCTGGAGTATTGTGTTCAGTTTTGGAGCCCTCACTGCAGAAAGAATGGATAAATTGGAGAAAGTCCAGCAGAGGGCAACAAAAATGGTGTGGGGGTTGGGGGACATGACTTTTGAGCAGAGGTTGAGAGAACTGGGCTTATTTAGTCTAGAGAAGAGGAGACAGAGGGGATTTAATAGCAGCCTTCAACTATCTGAAGCGGGGGTTGAAAGAGAACAGAGCTAGACTGTGCACAGTGGTGGCAGATGACAGAACAAGAAGCAAGGGTCTCAAGTTGCAGCAAGGGAAGTTCAGGTTAGATATTAGGAAAATTTTTCTCACTAGGAGGGTAGTAAAGCACTGGAACAGGATACCCAGAGAGGTGGTAGAATCTCCATCCTTGGAGGTTTTCAAGACCCGGCTAGACAAATCTTTGGCTAGGAAGATCCAGTTGGGGATGGTCCTGCTTTGAGCAGGGAGTTGCATTAAATGACCTCCTGAGGTCCCTTTCAACCCTAATTTTCTATGATTCTATGATAACTGAGTAAACTTGCTTCATTTTACTTGTTGAACATTCGAGTTGAAATGCATGTCTTCATGCAAATGGAAATATATTTAATGCCATATGTAAAAGGGGGCTTCCCAGGGCAAGTTAGAAGTTGGCCTGCCCACCTGTTTCTGGGCTAACTGCCTGCCTCTCTCTTTTGCTATGCCTTGATGATACAAAATTATGGTGTTAATTAGGCGGGAGGCTGCCCATTTCCTGCCCTGATGCCAGGGGATGCTATCTGCAGCTCCAAACCTCCCCTACACCACAGCCCATGCCTCACAGATGGCACCTAATTTCTTGACGTCTCTGGTTCCACACTGGGCCCCAAAACACTCCAGTCTGGACCCCAACTGGATCCTTCTCATCAGCAATCTACTTTGCCCTCATTCTGGGCTGCCTAGCTCCCTGCACTCTTCCCCCTCCAGGTGTAGCCCCCAGGGACCTTTGGCCACACAAGCCCTGGCCTCACCTACAAGGCCAGTCAGAACCACAGGCCCTTGGCTCTGGGCATCCCTCGCAGTGTGCCCCTGGCTCTTTTGACCCTTCTGGTCCTGACCCCAGCATTGATCAGCCAAGGGTGCCTCAAATGCCTTCCAAGCCCATACTCTCTAACACGAGTCCACCTTCTCGGGCCCTGCTATGGGCTTACCCACCCGGTTGGGGTGATGGGGTTATTAAGGCACCCCAAACCGCCTTTCATAGTTGGTGGGGCTGGAAGAGACCTCAGCAGATCATCAAGTCCGACCCCCTGCCATGGCAGGAAAGAGTACTGGGGTCAAACGACCCCAGCAAGGTGTTCTTCTAGCTTCCTCTTAAAGACCCCCAGGGTAGGAGCCAGCACCACTTCTCTTGGAAGTTGGTTCCAGATCCTAGCTGCCCTGACAATGAAGTAGCGCCTCCTGATATCTAGCCTGAATCTACCCTCTGTCAGCTTGTGACCGTTATTTCTAGGCACTCCTGGTAGTGCTCGGGAGAACAGGGACTCCCCCAATGCCTGCTGGTCCCCTCTGACTAGTTTGTAAATGGCCACTAGATCCCCCCTCAGACTTCTCTTGTGGAGGCTGAACAGGTTCAGGTCCCGTAGCCTCTCCTCATAGGGTTTGCCCTGCTGTCCCCAGATCACGCAAGTGGTCCTCCTCTGGACCCTCTCAATGCTGGCCACATTTCTCCTAAAGTGCGGCACCCAGAACTGGGCACAGTACTCCAACTGTGGCCTGACCAGTGTCGTATATAGGGGGGGATCACCACGTTGGCCCTGCTTGTGATGCATCTGTGAATACATGACAAGGTGTGGTTGGCCTTACTGACTGTGTCCTCACATTGGCGGCCCATGTTCATTTTGGTATTGATAATGATTCCAAGATCTCTTTCTGCCACTGTGCTTTCGAGAAGGGAGG